AAATGATTGCACTCACAACACTCGCCATTATTTTGCATTAAAAATCAAAAATCTTCAACAACAAAAAAAAGAAAGAAAAAAAAAAGGCACCAGATTTGGGTATTCTGTTGCGAGGCACTTAGCCTTAAGAAAGTATCAGTGTTAGGTATATAGGGCAGGTGTATACCAGGCAATGACACAAAACCTTAAAAGAGCCTTGGTGGCTCAAGGAATAGAGCGCTCGCCTTCCAATGAGGTATACCGGGTTTGAATCCCAACGATGACTGGCTGATGCGAATTCCGCACACGGTTCGCACCGACCACAGTGTGACGTAAAATATTCTCAGTGTTAGAAGGATCATGAGAAAGAGTCCCCTTGCCGTCAGGCTAACCTTGGGAGGCTTCCGTGATTTTCTTTTCAGTGTAACGCAAATGCGGGTTAGTTTCATCAAAGAGTCCTCCACGAAGGCAAAATTTTTCCCAATACTTGATCTAAGAGTTCCCTTGTCTTCTGGATTGGGTTCAAAATTACAAGGCTACATAGTTTAACATTAGTAGCCGTAAATTACCTGTTACCTGTAAAACCTATGATTTACGAGACCTCGACTTTTACAGTAACACATACATCAAGCGATACTGAAATGCAAAATTAACTTCTAAAATTTAATTGTATTACCCATGCATCAAAACGTAGCAAAATAAAGAAGAAGAAAAATAAAATCCGTGTCAAAAGAGTTAATATTGCATGGACAGGGGCGGAGTAGTTGTGTGTACGCCACTGATCTTATTATTGTGGATGAAGGACAATAATCATAATACCCATGGGGAATGGTTGGGTGAAAGTGAAATTCAGCATAGAGAGAGGATACTGTGGTGCGTGTAAAATGCATCGCTAGAGAAACCATCGAAGACGATGAAATCCTGTCATAGTTAAAATGGAGCATTTCTTCTTTCTTTTTTTTCTTCTTTTTTTCCAATCTTCGTGATGAGCCCGAGGAAGCGTAACTCTCTCTCTTCTTCTCTGAAGATTAAATAAATCTTTCGGGGGACCATCCACACAGTTCTGTTCTTTTTTTTTTCTTTTTTTCTTTTTTAATTTAGTTTTTTTTTCTCACTCACTCGTGCTAGATGGATAATTAAATAAAAAAATTTTCTAATATGAAGAAAGACATAATGAAGTCCATTTGTAGTAGATTTCGGTATCGGTATTTATTAAACTTTTAACCGTCCAAAAGTATTTTAGGTTTACTTCTCACCAGGTCATAATCGCAATAATTAATTATTATACAAATTATAGATTCATAATCAATAATAGTCGAGTTAATAATGGGGGCTCCAAAATTTACGGTATTTATTAAACTTTTAACCATCCAAAAGTAATTTAAGTTTACTTCTCCCCAGGTTATAATCGCAATAATTAATTATTATACAAATTATAAATGCATAATCAATAATAGTCGAGTTAATAATGGGTGCTCCAAAATTTATACAAAATTTGATGTAAATAGTACATTAATATTTAGTGTTGGCAACAACAACAAAAAAATTATTTAGACGTTTTTTTTAATTTTTTATTTTAAAACCGTCGTTGAACAGCCGACCCAATTTTAAATTTACGACTACCAATGTTAATCTCCGTAGACTTGTAATTTTGAACCCAATCCAGAAGACCAGGGAAGGACTTTTTGGTGGAACTCACCCGCGTTTGCGTTACATGGAGAGGAAGACCACGTGAACCTCCCACGGTTAGCCTGACGGCAAGGGGACTCTAACCCATGATTCGTCTACNCATAATCAATAATAGTCGAGTTAATAATGGGGGCTCCAAAATTTACGGTATTTATTAAACTTTTAACCGTCCAAAAATATTTTAAGTTTACTTCTCACCAGGTTATAATCACAACAATTAATTATTATGCAAATTATAAATGCATAATCAATAATAGTCAAGTTAATAATGGGTGTACAAAAAATTACGCAAATTTTGAAGTAAATAGTAAATTAATATTTAGTGTTGGCAACAACAAAAAAAAAACATAGTTTGACAGCTTTTTCTTAAAACATTTCATTTTAAAATCGTCGTTGAACACCCGACCCAATTTTAAATTTACTACGACCAAATCCATAGCCCTGTAATTTTGAACCCAATCCAGAAGACCAGGGAAGGACTTTTTGGTGGAACTCACCCGCGTTTGCGTTACATTATGAGGAGGAAAACCACGAGAACCTCCCAAGGTTGTTCTGATGGCAAGAGGACTTAAACTCATGATCCGTCTACCACTGAGGATATGTTACGCCAGCACTGTGGTGAACTGAGAGCCAATTCGTATTGACCAGCCATCGTTAAACAGTATGGCTAATCGTTAAACAGTATTGAGTTTGTAAAAATACACCTCGTTTTGATTGTTGAACAATATTTCCAAAATATTGAAAGCTTTGCCGTTACAGTTCGCAAATTTCGTGCAGTAGTCGGGGTAATTGATTTAACTTTGTCAACTGTGAAGAGAGTTATTGAAAAATTTAAGGTGACTGGATTAAATTGGGGAAGCTGAGCACATTTGCTGTCCAATGCTCGAGTGTTTTAACATTTATATTGGACAACATGTGGATTCAATAGGACGATGCGACATCCCATTCAGAATATGATTTGATTAAATTTCTGAATGAGACATTTCCTGGTCTTGGGTTTTCACGCTACAACTGACCATTATATTATTTTATTAAACTCCGTAGCCTTGTAATTTTGAACCCAATCCAGAAGACAAAAGAATTCCTGGATCAAATATAGGGAGAAATTTGTCTTCGTGAAGGATTTTTTTGATGGAACTAAGCCACATTTCCGCTTAAAAGAGAGAAAAACCATGATAACCTCCCTCGTCTAGCATTGCGGCAAGGGGACTTTAACTCATGATCCGTCTACCATTGAGGATATTTTACGTCAGCACTCTGGCCGGTGCGAGTCCGGTGCTGAATTCGTATCGACCCGCCATCTCTGGGATTCGAACCCGGTTCACGTTATTGGAAGGCGAACGCTCTATCACCCGAGCTCCTCAACTGGCCATTAGTAAAATTTCCTAACTTTTCTCGATAACTCTCATTAATGCTCCAGACGAGAAAGAATAGTCGAACAATCCGCAACATTCTTAATGCAATATTGTAATTTTAATAATATTCTAATTTTGAAATCGTTTATGGTGGACCAAATAATTTTTTTCATTTGTATTTACGTAATTATTTACTACATATATATAAATGAATTGCTACATAATTAAACAAACTTAATTGTTCTTTAGAAAAAAATAGACTATTCGAATTTGTTTTGGAAAAAAATAGACTATATTCTCAACCGTTCTCTTAATATATATGAACTGTCATTAATATCATTTAAACACGGGGAAAAAAAAGTTTGGTAAAATTTCCATACTGTATTGTAATGACATTTCTGGTTTAAAAAAAAATAATAAAAAAAACATAATGCTGATTAATAAAATTAAAATATACGATACTTAAATCATTCATTTGGTAATTTTTCCGTTCATATGGTAACGGTTACTGGAAATTCTGGTTTTCAAAATTATAATACTTATTACCACACGTTCATGCAAGCACGTATTCAGTTTTTCACAGAGTTTTTATTTTATTAAACCTTGGTAAATTTAGTTTCAAGCATACAGATTAATGTGAGAATAAAAAGTGGATATAAGCAGCGGTTTGTAGTAGAGCACTACAAGCAGTGAAACTACGGTAGTAGCTACTTTTTTTCGTAGTGAATAGTGTAGTATGCTACTTTTTTAAACAAAATAGTGTAGTGAAAAGCGCAATGATAAAAAAAAAACAGTAGTTTGTAGCGATTCCTAGCAACTATCTTTAACGTTAGTTTAGAAAAGAAACAACGGTTCTAATGCAACTAATTTTTCTAATTTGAAGGGTTATAATCTTCGCCGATTCCTCAATGGATGCAATGAAATGAATGTGACTACATCTGAGCGTTAACAGAAATGACGTATTTCGAATCACGTTTAACTAATATTTAACTAACCTTTGCGAAAAATCGATAATTTATCACTTTGGTCATACTTTCACATGCGAATGCACACTCGTGAAGTGGACGTATATTCGATGTACTTAATTTCTTGAGGAGATAAAAGAACGTTTGAGGATTAAGAAATTGCGAGCATTTGATAATTTTGCATTTCTTAAATTAGATATTCGCTGTCGAAAAAAATGCACAAAAAGTTGAAGGTTAAATGAACAAATTCGAAAAACATGTTTTGGAATTAAAAAAAAAACTGGCTCGTGTAAACATGAATGAATATTTCTTAATTATTCTCTTATATTTAATGTAAGCCAATTTCTTATTCAAAACCATTTTGAACATGGGTGTCAATTAATTTCAAAGTTCGTCTTCTTAAAGTAGTTACTAAATTCCTAAGTAGTTTAGTTAAATCCTTCCCTGTCCCTGCCTTTTTATTGCATCATTATTATATGATCGTTTAATCTCTAGTTTATTTGTTTTACTATGCATCTTAGAATTATGTGTCCTATCCTATTTTATTATGACATTATTATGTGAGTGTCTTATCGACTTTTCTTTGGGGGGGGGGCGAAAAAATATCTTGTGGAGGTAACAGTTAAAAAGCACTCTCATGTTTTTTCCGATGATTTCTACTTTTTAAAACTTTTTTATTACGTTTAGTATACATAACTTGTATAATTTTTTAGTTTACCCTCTCTTGTATAATATGCAATTTATCTTTAAAAATTTTATCTTTAATTTTAATATCTAGTTTGTGTATAACATCATGCAGTTTTTAAATGGTTAAAAAAAAAGTTTTACGCCTTTATATCCTACAGGTGTTTGTCTCAATTCGAAAACGAAAATGTGCTAAATAAATAATCCCGATCCGTCCCCCTTTTAGTAGTAAATTTCTTTTTCTCTTTTTAACAGATCAAGATCGACAAATAAAACAATGGCAATAAGTAAAAGCGAGAGGCGAGATGCTCGCGCGCGTTTGCGTCCTGTTTAACACGAACGATCACAGAGGCGTGACGTTTAATGCCTAGTGGCCCCTTTCCATCTTCCACACACTCACTCTCTCTCTCTTTCTCGGCAGAGAAGAGAACAAAAAAATGTTCGTGCCTTGTTGTGGACAGCCCTCTTACTACATGTGGCCCCACCACTCCCCCCAGGCACAACAGTTGCCAAATTTTTGGATTAGGCCCATGCCGACCGTGGCCAGTACACTACCGAGTCCACATAAACCATGCCCCATGCATGATGTCAAAAAGGGATCTCATGATAAACTACAAAGAGCATCGTCTGCTCCGAAAATCAGCAAAAAGAGAGTAAGTCACCATTTTAGCTAATGTTCTTTTTAAATTATTTGAATGCAGAGCTCTATTAAATTAGATGATTTAGTCGATGTCTCTTGTGTGATGTATCTTAGAATTATTAATTATTTTTCAAAGTTTTATTTTGAATTAAAAATTTATTGTTAGAATTTTTTTTCAAGTGATAAATCTTAGTTTTTCATAGGTAGCTCTTTCAAACGATAATTCTTTTTGAACTAAAATCATAAAATCAAACGATAAATAAAATAAACTTAAATTTTTTTTCTTCCTTTTCCATTCGTAAAATCACTAGTTATAGAGTAAATGGGTAAATTGTAATTTATGTATTAAAATTGTTTTGATTCTCAATTTCTGTACAAAATGTGTAACTTGTTTTAAAAATATGCATTTTTACACCAATTTTGTTTTTAATTACTTTATTAAAAATATGTGAGTTAAAAAATCGTTTTCTCTCCGTTATCCGTTCTCAAAATTACAAAAAAAGAGAATAAGTGGTGAATCTATGAAAAATAACCTTTAATTATTTAAATACAGTTGTAAAATTTTAATAATGTAGTCGCTGCGTGTGCATGAATGTATCCACTAGAAATCAAATTAATTGTCTTCAAAATTTTATTTTAGATGATTCTTTACAAACATTTATTGTTGAGGAATAATAAAATATTTTAATGATATGTTTCTAGAGCCACATAACACGGGATAGATTGATTAATCATTATTAAAGTAAGTAAATTGTTTTTGATGACTATTCTGTTTTCAAAATATCTTACAGATTTTAAAAATGAAATTTTTTATTGCCATTTTTATTTTGAATATCATTTTTAAAAATATATCGGCAAAGAAGCCCGTTTTCACTGTCTGTTTTTAGAATCACTTAATAAATATTAAATGTATATATAGTCTAAAATATAAAGAAAGTTATTACAAGTACATTCTCAAATATGAAGCTGTTACAAATACATTTTTAAGTACCAAACTCTAGTTATGGTACGAAATATTATATAAAATTGACAAAATAGCAATTGTGTGGAAGAATTAGTGCGGATATATGTATTACTAAAAATGTACTTATTTTTCAAATGATATGTTTTTGCAATGATGTCATTCAATTGATTTTAATGCCCATGAAAAGATGTGATGTCAATAAACAAACACACAATAAATAAATAAACTACAACTAAGAAAAGTAAATAAAAAATGTGTTTACATGCAACCGCAAAATTTTCAGTTCACCTCTATAAAAATGGGGCAAACTACTTTTCATGGAATTTTTTACAGTGTAGAAATGGCAACGCTTTTTGACCTAACTTATACAACTCCCCGCTGCAGAATTAAGCTATATTACTAGTAAATTGAATAAAGTACCGTTTTATTTTGTTAATTTTAATTATAATATTCTTTTAAACTGTTTAATTATATATTTCATTTTAATTTTTCAAAATGTTTGATAGTTTCTTTTAAGGACACAAAATACGTTTTGTTTTTTCACCTAAAGTAAAATAGGATTTGATTGAATTTATTTTTACTTATCTAATTTTCTTTTTCTTCAATTTATTTCTATATTCAATATAATAGTTGTGCATATGTATGTGCCCGACCGTATTTATAATATCGTACTCATGGAAATAGTAGTAGAACTTTTTTACGTCGCACTAGAGTTGTACAGTGAGCTTTTGGCGACGGTCTGGGAAACTTCCTTAAAGCGATCTGATGAAATGCCATGGCAATTTCGATATCCTCTGCGGAGGGGATGGTTCTCCCGTTTTGATAGAACAACGACCTGCATGCAAGGTCGAGCACTTTACGAATGCAGAACACCCTTTGTCCCTTCGCAGTTTGCTCAAAGTCGTCACCTCTCACTGACCGCTGCGTGATGCTTGATTTGGGTGATCTACTAAGAGCCGAGTCTTACGATCAGTACAATAACATACGGATAAGTGGGGTTGCTAATAGTTAGTGTACATGAATATTTTTCATTAAATTATCAATGTAAATTTTTATTTTCTCTGTTTCTAGATTAAACAGAAATAAATAAAAAGGCGCTAAAGTGAAGTAAAAAATTTTTTTATTGTGACCTTAAAATGTAAAGTTTTTAAATGTAATTTACCTTTTGACGCAGATGGGAAAACCGGTATCTGTTTTATATATATTTTGTTTTCTGGCGCCCTTATTTCAAGCAAAAAAATATTTTGTCGCTTTTTTATTATAAAAATTAATCTAATAGTTAGTAAAAATGTCTGTTAGATTATCGGAATTATATTTGTATTAATATGTTAAATCCGAAAAAAAGTAGTTTGAAAAAAAAAACTTTTTTTTTTCATTGTTTATCAATCATTGATTTTGTAAATAATAACTGTTTCTCTTAGATCTAAATAACTGCAATTAAAAAAACATTTGAAAATATTATTGTTCGGAAGTGAGCCGTGTACGGAAAAGTTTTTCCTTTAGCGCAAAAAAAGATACTGGTGTTTTTTTCCATATTTAATAAGCACAAATTGTTAAAATACTAAATATAATATTTTCCCCTTATTTTGACCTAAATAAGTACCAAATAATAAAAAAAAAATGAAAAATACATTTAATAAAAATTCTTCGTCAAAGGGTTTAAGCGTAAATTGTTAGTGTCGGAAAATATGTTGCTGTGACGTCATAGTGAAGTTTCTTTACTCTGAACTCCATTAAATTGAGAAAATAATTAGAAAATAAAAAAAAAAATCCTTAAAATCAGAAAATTAATCTCCTTAAAATTAGAAAATAAAAAATTATTTCACTGACCAATATTCAGATTAACTTCTAATTTCACTTTTAAAAAACTTCATCCACAAAAAAACTTTTTTTTCTCTTAATAGCACTTAAAGCCTTAAAAGAGAACGCATTTAATATAATAACCATTATTTAGATAACCATTTGAGCTGTATGTTAATTAATGTAATAAACCCTCCTTTGAAATTTTAAAATGCTTCTAATAAACTTAAAGTATTAATTTTAAAAAAAATAAAATTTTGATGAATATTTATGAAAATTGAAACAGATAAAGATAAAATAATAGAAATAATCGACATGCATAATAGGATATAAATTTTTAAAGAAAAAAAAATTACTTTCCGACACCATTTTCTTAAATTATTCTTATTACCGTTTGATATCTTTAAATGAAGTAGATATCTTTCTTAAAAAATATAACTCCAGGAAAAGATTTCGAAATTTACTGAAATTTGTATTTTACTTTTTGTATTTTAAATTTGTAATTTATTGAAATTTGTATTATATACCTTATCTTTAGTAGTCGAGTTAAGTCTGTAGAATTTCAGAAGTAAATCGTGTGTTAAAAATTTTTTGTGGAACATAATAAAGTAACTTTTCAATAATTATTAATAAGAATGTAAAATAATTATTGATGCTTACTTTTTTAAATAAAATTTTAGTTGTATTAACATGTATTTATTTAAGTACAAAAATATTTTTATTTAAATAATTAATGGTTTGTTCAGAAGGGAAATGCCGTAAATAATTATTCAGAGATTTCATTTATTGCAGAATGATTCAGAATAGATTGTTGCAATGAATATAAAGGTCATATTTAATAACAATCAACTTTAATAATGCAAAACACTGAAAATAANGAAATAATTGACATGCATAATGGGATAAAAATTTTCAAAGAAAAAAATTACTTTCCGGCACCATTTTCTTAAATTATTCTTATTACCGTTTGATATCTTAAAATGAATTGGATATCTTTCTTAAAAAATATAACTCCAGAAAAAGATTTTGTATTTCTGAAATTTGTATTATATACCTTATCTTTAGTAGTCGAGTTAAGTCTTTAGAATTTTAGAAATAAATCACGTGTTAAAAATTTTTTGTGGAACATAATGAAATAATTTTTCAATAATTATTAATAATAATGTAAAATAATTATGGATGCTTACTTATTAAATAAAATTTTAGTTGTATTAACATGTATTTATTTAAGTACAAAAATATTTTTATTTAAATATTTAATGGTTTGTTCAGAAAGGAAATGCCGTAAATAATTATTCAGAGATTTCATTTATTGCAGAATGATTCAGAATAGATTGTTGCAATGAATAAAAAGGTCATATTTAATAACAATCAACTTTAATAATGCAAAACAATGAAAATAAGCAATTATGATGACTATCCTATTAGCCTTCTATTCCAATCCGTTACCTACCACACAAGTGATGCATGTTCATTATTATTATACATGTTAAAGCGCCTTCCGGTCAGGCTGAAATTCCTAACATTATTATACTAAGAAATGTTGTTTTAAACTAAGAATTTTTAGAACATTCATTCTAAATATTTTAAATATTCATGGAAAAATAAATTAGTGCTTTGGACTGTTCTTACAATTTTGTTCTCATTAAAATTGTGTCAGAATACTGCGGAATTAACACATTTTTTTTCTCACTTATTTACAAATGTGATAAAAATCTTTTATTAAAATAGACGTACGTCATATAATTAATAATAAAACTAGCTCAACTCGAAATAATATTTTGTAGTTTTCCCAAGAACCAAAATATCTTAATTATCTAAAAGAAAAAAGTTTATTTTAAAACAATCACAAATTTCACGGTTATTTTTTGAAAAAATAATGTCATTTTTGAAACTTTCTCTAAAAATTATTTTGTTATTGGTTTTGAAACTGAGCGCCTCACTTAATGTTTTTATTTTCATATTTAATTTTTTTATTTATTCATTCATTAATTTATTTATTCTGCATGTGTAACAGTCCCCACAATTTCAGTAAACTTTAATTCAGCCGTTCCCGCATGATGTTGCGTGGAAAGTTAAAAGTGGTTCCGAGAATTAGGACTTTTATTTACCTCACAATAATAATATTGATTCCATTATTTATTATTTATCTATTGATGATTGATATTAATCTATTATTTATTGATTATTTCAGTTGTCTTTATGAAATTATTTAAAGTAAAAGCCGACAAAAAAACAAATAGCAAAAT